TTCAAAAATAAGTGGGAGTTTAAAAAATCTTAATTGTATTTTTAAATTTCAAAATCAGAAAATGAAATAAGGGCGTCTGGATTATAAATCTGTTATAAATAAATATACACTTGAAAATAAAATATACATTGTAGGTCACTTATTTGAAATAAATACGTCACTTATTTCATCCGAAGTCAGGCTCCAGAAATTACAGATTTTGAAACCCCCTTAAATCAATTTAAGAAATAATTCAGAAAGTTAATTTTTGCAATAAGGAATCTATGCAGCAGCATGGATTAAAGTAAATGTGAAAATTATGGCAAAGTTAACAGTTTTTAATAATAAAAATCTTAGAAACTTTCTCTTCGTAAAAATTTTTTTTTAAATTTTAAATGTTTTATAATGTGAAAAAATCGTGTTTTATGAATTATGCGATGTTACTTAGATGGCTATTATTTTTATTTAGTGAAGATAAAGATAACTATACATCGGTGGCTTTAATGGCTCCTTTTAATACATTTAAAAAATTAATTCAGTAAATTAGTTGGCGAATTCCTTGTATAAAATATTTCAATGGTGAAAAGTTTGAATATATACAGTATAATAGTACTAATTTAATATAATAGAAGTTTACGTGTCTTTCAAACCCAGATTAATTAAAGATGCAGTTAAATGACGTTTTTACAAAGGATCTTTTTATTCCTCCGAAATCAATATTTGGAAAGATTAAGGCTGTATTCCCATGAAGAGTTTTCACTATCACTTTTATTCCTTCAAAACTAAGTTTATATCATGAGACGGAATAAAGCTCCAGAAAATACCTAAAGCCAAAGCTATTATGTTTGTAATAATATTGCAATTAAAGTATTCGACTATATGAACCACGTTCTTGAACTTTACATTATATTTTGTAAGTGGGAATGAATTTAACTATTAAAATTAGGATATTTAATTCTATTACCAATTCTAAATTCAAGAATTTGATATTTTTTCAATAACTTGTTATAAAGAAACCCCGAAGCGAAAGATATTAATAAGATTATATATGTTTTCTTAACTTGTTTATTTTTATTTTTTTTATAGTAAAAATATTGTTGGTTAATTTACCATTCAAAAAAAAATAAATATTGTAAAGAAATTATGTTAACAAAATCCAAATATCCTATAATTTAAATCTAACAATTAAACACTAACCAGCTACTATACAATTCCGTGTCATTTCTTCTTCCTGGGCTAATACTTCCAGGAATATGTATAGGACTTACATTCGAATTTTTATGACCTCTTCCTTGTCCGTACTTAATTCTCTCTGCCAATTCTTTATCTCTATCCCCTTTGTCCTTGTTCTCTTCAAATTCTCTCTATTTTTACCATTGAAGACTTCCCATCATCAGCCCTTTTTTTTTATGGACTTTTTCTTAGCAGCGAGCTTAGCGCCGCAATAGTAGCTTTGGATTCTCCAAATGATCTTTGACTAATTGTTCAACCTCACTCATCAATTGTTTCTGAGTATTTTCATCACCTTTTGTAGGTTCATATTGCCGTTTAAATTGACGCCATTTTGCGATACCCAAATACATTTAGCACCTTTAGGGTTCGCTTTTGTGATGGGTATTGGAATTTTCTTATTCTCACAATCACGAATAATCATTGGGTGGTCTCTTAAAGATTTGGCATCACATTTTTTTATTAGAGGTGTCGT